CACTGGGGTTTACATTGACTCTGTATTAAAAGCTATATATATATATATATATATATATATATATATATTTAATCTCTGCTTTTATATCCCACTATGTCTTTTATTTCACAGTAAATCATACATATCATATCTTTAGTGTAAATATGGCACTGTGAGTTTATTAGATTATCTTGTGGGTCACTTGGAGCAAACTCATGCTGTGCAGCCATTCAAATCTCCACAACTTTATTTTGAATTCTACTTTCCATAGATACCAAAAATGTCCGGCTTACTTTTGGCAAAATGTGTATAAAATGATGGTGACATCTAATATCTGGCGTTGGTGGAACTGTACAGGCATAACATCATCGCCTCCTTCAATGAAGAGTTGGATCAAGCGGAGAATTTATACTGTGATAGTAAACATTTTAAGCATTCATAGTTAGCATACCAATTAATTACTAAATAACTCTATAATGTAGTTGTGAACAGATATAAGGACATTTTCAAGTGTTTTGAAACTGTTACTCATCTAATGAAGCATCAATAACTGTTGTATAACTGGTTAATGAATGCTTAATAGCTACACATAGTTGTCATAATGAATTTTCACAAGATTTGAAATAAATATTTATTTGTGTTTACAAATGGAACATTTTTAACCTGTCAATGATTTGTACAGTTATGAAATGCTTTATTATAAGATTAGTTCATGTATGTAATAATATATCACTATAATTGCATGAGAGTCCCTGAGCAGCGTGTGTGGCTCTCAGGAGCAGACAGGCTCTGCAGGAAGCTCTCAGTCATGACTGTGTGAGCATTGAGACAGGAGCAGGGCGCTGAGCTGCCTGCAACACCTCCTATCTCCTCACTCTTCAAACTTCAACCAGGCTCAATAGACTTTTTTTTTATTATTATGCTTGTGGAAAACATATTGGAGTTTCATTTGATGGCTTTGCAATAGCAGAAATTGGATTTCGTGGAGAAGAAAGGGCAGTTTGACTGGATTATATGTGGATGAAATGAAGTTTTTGGCGGATTTATGCTCGCTGGACTTTCGGTGCCAGGGCCCTGCAGTTTATTGCAATGATATTTTAGTGATATTTCTTGCATGCCTGGTGTAATTTTCATAAAAGCGCACAGAGCTACAGCCTCCCCCTGCTATGGAAAACCTCACCATGGATAACATGACTGTGGCGAATGGCACGTCGGTGCAGGACAATCAGACCCTGGGTCTTTGGACTGACTATACAGTTGAATATAAAGTGGTCAGCGTGTTTTTGGTGTCCCTCATATGCGGGGTGGGGATCGTGGGGAACGTAATGGTCATACTAGTGGTCCTGACCACCAAACACATGCGGACCCCCACTAACTGTTACCTGGTGAGTCTGGCCGTGGCTGACCTGATGGTCCTGACGGCCGCCGGGCTGCCAAACATCACCGACGCCCTGTGCGGAGAATGGGTGTTCGGGTACGCGGGCTGTTTGGGGATCACCTATTTCCAGTACCTGGGAATAAACGCTTCCTCCTGCTCCATCACCGCCTTCACCGTGGAGCGCTACATCGCCATCTGCCACCCAATAAAAGCGCAATTCCTGTGCACTTTATCCAGGGCAAAGAAAATCATCATGCTGGTCTGGGCGCTCACCTCCGTCTACTGCGTCATGTGGTTCTTTCTGTCAGACACCGCAAAGTTAGTGTATGACAACGTGGTGCTGCTCAGCTGCGCCTACAAAGTGTCCAGGAGTCACTACCTGCCCATTTACTTCACAGATTTCGCCGTGTTTTACGTGCTGCCTCTCATGCTGGCCACAGTTATGTACGGACTGATCGCCCGGATACTTTTCCTGAACCCGCTGCCTTCAGATCCCAAAGACAGCACCAAGAAGTGGAAGAAGGAGACGAGTAAGGGAGGGAGGATGATCAGCACCAACTCTTCCAGCAGCGCAACGGCGGCCTCCCGCAGACAGGTGGGACACTGTTCATTCACATCTTCTCTCTGTAATGATTGACTGTGTAATGATTGCGAGTATATTATTTGTGTGCGAATGACATCACGTCATGACCCCCCCGCATGAAAAATGATGCTACTGTTACTGCTGTGGGTGTAATAATAATAATAATAATAATAATAATTGCAAAACCAATATATAAACAGGCAATCAAGTGAGAACACTTTACATCAGCACTATTAAAACATAATGAAATTGTTATATGGGCTAATGATGAACAAATATATTATTTTTGATTGTTGAAAAGTCATTTACAGATAAAATAATTATATTTAGGGTCCATTAGAACACAGAGAGGTTTAACTCATAAACAGAAATCTTAATAGACTTATTTGGGATTGAAACACCACTCACTGTATTTAGCACAGCTGACCCAAAACCCTCTGTTTGGGGGTTTCTGTAGTGGACTTCACCACTTCAGGTTTATACACTATTTTCAAACAAGTAGGGAAAGTGATGAAGGATCCAAGTGATAAAACAATGTTAAGTATGTTTTTTAGCTGTTGAAGAGGGCCGGGTTCTCCAGGAGCCCAAACACAGCATTAAGGTAAATTGTTGCAACTATAATTATTGATAAAAAATATCCACTTCATATTAAAATATACAGCTGACCCCAAGCTCCCCTACCTACTCACTGGTAGCACTTTGATACACTGTTATATATACAGTGCATCAAAGTGCTGCCAGAACTCATTTGCTTTCATACTGAGTCCAGAAAAGTTTGCCACATTTTTCAGCAGAATAGAGCTGATACACCTTTTTAAAACACAAATGCATACAGCGGCTCACAGTCAACAGTGTCCAACTGACAACAATGATAAGACAGCAGCAGACAGCAGTCTTTAGCAACCACTTTTGTTTATATTGATGGATGCTTTCTTTGTAAGAGCTCATAAATCACCCGGCTCAGTCTGTGTGTGCATGCTTGAGAAAAATACATGTTTTATAATAAAGCCCTCTGGCTCATCATACATGTAGTAAAACATCCAAGACTGTGTTTCATCCTCCTCTGATCATCCTCCAGATCTTATCGTGATTGTGCTTATAACACCCTGTAAAGAGTTCCTACTTTGTTAAAAGTTAAACAGAATCCTCTACAGGCACAGACACACCGTGCCAGACACACAGGTAGATAATAGAGTGAGACGTCTGTTTATCAGATCACTGGAAGAAGCCTTCCTGGAATGACATGGGGTGTGGTACCCTGAGGGAGCTCCATGTTCAGCTGGATAGTCTAATCAGTTAACCTCAACTCGAATAGGCTTTTTCTCCATCAGTATGGCTTGTTTTGTCTCTTTTACTTATGCACACCCACAAACACATGATCCCATTTGAGGGCTGGGAGGCAAAGGGGTGTAAGTGCGTTATGTCAGATTTTATAGGATAGCCAAAACAAATTTGGATCAAACTTGAATCAGTTGCTGTTGCCATGAACTATACACAATATTTGATCTTTATATGTTATCAGATTGAGCATCAATATAAAATCAATATTTCTGCGATTTAAGTTTAAAAATATTTGTCAAATATTAAAAAAATGGTAAAAGAATGAGATACCCCTTTTCGGTTTCCCCATAGACTATAGTCAGTAAACAAGTGTAAAGCACGTTCATTTGAATTAAAATGTACACACAATTCCACTTCAATCAACACTGAAAAAAGATAAGAACTTCATCTTGAAGTAATGCTCAGCAACTTTCACAGAGGAAAAAAATTAACAAATTAACTGGTACTGTTTTCTCTGTTAAAAAGGGTGATGCCTTTCAGTTTTCTTTTATTTACAACCTATGGGTCATCATTTCAGCGGTGTCCTTTTGGCACTGAAAAGATCTCACTGATAGCTTTCATTAGATATATAATACTCCTATTCGCCCAACGTGGCTGTTATGCCCCTTGGGCTCCAACCCCTCAATGTGTTTCTGGTGGTCAGCATTAAGCGCTCATTGTGCACACAACTGTGTACCTTACTGAATTACCTAAAGGTCAAGAAGTAATGAGGATCTAGGATTAGGTATTTTGCTCACTGATGACACCGGCAGTGCCCCGATCCAATCCAATTAGACTCACCTGACTGCAGCTGAGGCAACACAACATAAATATGGATAAGATTTAATTACATACAAGTTTCACATCAGGATTATCATCTGGCAATTATATTAACAAATCCAGGGTTTGTTAAGTTGTGCATACAGATTTGATAAATCTCCATAGTTAGAAATTAATCAACAGCACCTGAATAAACAATGAATGTTTTATGAGGTCTACAATATGGTGGCTTTAAAGTTGCATCTCAAAGTGTTTTCAAGCAATATCTTGGTTCGTTTATGTTTCATAAGAGTTTGTGATGCTGTATTTGTATTAATCGCCAAGTTGTAAAGTTGTAATGCTCCTCTCTTTTGAAAGACTGTTAAGTTGCACAGAACATGAACACTGGTATGTTTGTTTTTCCCTAACACTGTCACAGTGGCAGTAAGAAAACAAAAAAATCCAATACGTTTTTTCATTCTGAACAGAAATGTGGGATCGCAAACCATCCAACAAAAACTGCAATGCAAAGTTACTGTCATTACAAACATATGGCAAAGAGCTACAATGTGAAATGCAAATTTGGATTGCCATTTATAGTTTTTCCTTGCATGGCTATCATGGCAAATGGACAAATATTATAGGGATGCAGATTATGTGTGTTGCTGTTGATCTTCTTTTGGTCCGAGTATGAACAAACATTTCTAAGCTTGTTGGCTCGTTTGAATGCAGAAACACTGTCTAACACTATGTGTTTTCAGGCTTTTTGGTAAAGATCTTTAACAAATGGTTCAGTGGAACAGCTAAGTCCTTTCCTTTTCCTCTTTTGTTCAGCAAACAAAATACTGTTAACAGCAAAAAGTGTGTGCAACAGTCTTACCTGGTTAAACTTCAGTCTTCTTCTGCTCTCCATCATCACCTATAATAGTGTGTGACCACAGAGAGTTAGAGATAATAGAGCCGAATGCTTAGGAAAAGCTGTGGTCTAGGGTATATAGCATTTGATGAGAAACTGATCAGCTCAACTGTTGGCGTACAACACAGTGAATGATGGCAAACACTTCTTGCAAGGCTCAGAGTAATCCACCAATACATCAGGATTAGGATTTCATTAACTGCTAAGCAGTCAAATGGTTTTTCAGAGCCGATAGAACTGTTATGGTCTCAGTACATGTGCTGTAGGTTTATGTTTGTTGTACTTTAGTTTGTGCAGGTCTTAACAGAGGAACAGTTTTTGTAACTACTGGTTTATGTAACAGACTACTTGTTTTAACAAGAAGGAAGATCATGACATCATCTCATCAGCATTGCCACCTGCCAGAGATCCTCCTAAAGTAGCAGCTGCTGTTTAATCATCCAACTCACCTATCATTATGTCCAAAATGCACAATAATGCGCAATATTCATTCAAGGGTAACCAGTTTGCCTGCTTCTCTTTCCTTCAAATAGCCTCCTGATGGGTGGTGCATGTACGATATATACTGTCCAAATGTTGTGACAGTGGTGTTTTTTTTTACTTTTTAATAAATTTGTCATTTGTAGTTTTGCTTTATTAACATTTCTCTTGTTTTGGTGTGGCCTGTATGATCTTTGTTGATCTTGAATGCATCCGACTGTAAGGACACAGGTGTAACTACTTTCCTGCTGACTGCTGATACGTGTCCTTTAAAAAGAGAGCTCACTGACGTGTCAAAATGCGTCAGCAGGTGCTTCTGAGTAAAATGAGTATAAAATACTTGAGACATGGATTTCATTACTACCGGTGCTCCCATTTTTCCTATGCAATTCTCGGGGAAACAAACACACTTAATTTTTTGCTTTGAAGTAGAACACCAAACTGAATATTCAGGGCAGGAGGATTCTCCTTTTCTGAATTTGGTACTCTGGTATTTAGCCCTACCAAAATTCCAGTCACACCATCAATATTGAGCTGGAGTGAGGCTGCACCATGTTAATCTCATTAAACATCCTCAAGTTGACTCAATCCAAGTGTTCAGGTGGAGCTGCAGCTGCGTTCACAGACAAGATACAGTATGTCATCTGGTTAAAAAAAGAAATGATTCCCCTGCCCCGGTGAAGGGAGGCTCGGTGAGAATTACTTTTTTTTCTGTTGGGCATGATGGCCCCTTGTGCATCTATCACAGACCCCAAAGTTATAATCCTTAAGATTTCAGTCCTAGCTGAGCTGGCCATTATTACTGGTGCAGTTTAGGTTTTAAGAATTCAAAATTCACTTGTTAAGTAGCAACTTTGTGAGAATTACAACAGCAGAACTTTGTTTACAGTGTTATTAAATGTTTTTTTTTTTTTTTATGGCTTTTGAATTGTTTTTTAGAGCCATTTTTAATGAACAGCTGTTGTCAGCACCAACCTCAGTGATGACTGCATTCCCCCTTCCTAGACAGATATGCATTGCCTGTGACTGCTTCACAATAAAATTCACCCTCTGTTTCACAAATTGAATGCTTTTAATGTGAGGCAAAGGCAATAGGAAATGTTCATGAGTGGTTCGGCAAAGAGGTTAACATCAATGAGATTAAATTAAAAACAATGGTGAACAATGGTGGATCCTTTGTGTGTGGTTAGAAAATGAGAATCTTAAATGAGAATGGCAGACTCCGCCACTAACATGGAAAACTTCTATATACAGAGGTAGTTACTCAATGTCAATACATTGAAAAGCCTATTACTGAAAAAATGTCGACCATAGATAATATCAAAAGCAGAATTTAATTTCATGAAAAACTTAAGGATTATAACTTTAAGAATAGGCATTTTTCAATTGTAGATGTTTTGACATGTCACCGTAGGAAGAGCACAGATTTAAAGAACAGAATTACTTGGTTGCCTCAGTTTCAGGGTTTTGGTATTGTACATGCTGTCACATTGTCATGGTTTACTGGGACAAAAAACACTCTTAATGTTATTAGTTGCACCTGTCTTTTTCTACTACAATAAGTCAAACAGTCTCCTGTGAAAAGGGCCTGTAATCCACGTGCCTTGTGCTGTGGCTCATACTGTTTAGACAGTTTTCTGTGATTTCATTTTGTTGTAGCACTTTTTAACACAACTGAATTTTATTAGGTGACAAAGATGCTGGCTGTGGTGGTGATCCTCTTCGCCTTACTTTGGATGCCCTACCGGACCTTAGTGGTGGTCAACTCCTTCCTGGACAAGGCCTACCTGGATACCTGGTTCCTGCTCTTCTGCCGCCTGTGCATCTACCTAAACAGTGCCATCAACCCGGTCATCTACAACGCCATGTCCCAGAAGTTCCGTGCTGCTTTCAAGAAGTTGTGTCACTGCGGTCCTCAGCGTATGGAGAAACCAGCTTCTTACAGTGTGGCCCTAACCTACAGCGTCATCAAGGAGACGTCCAATGGGGAAAGTCCAGACCACTTCACTACAGAAATGGACGATGAGTTAAACACACCAACGGATCAGTACTTACCCACATGCATCCTGCCAAGTGCCAAAAAGATGCCGTTCGAAGAGCCTTCTCTGTCTGGGAGTGATGTCAAAGCCTGACTAAAATCTAACTTTCCACCTAAACAGGATTCTAATAGCTGCAGTATGGATTCAGTCACCCATGGGACATTTTAGAGAGGTTTTAATTAAAAGTACTCAGACATTTAGAATTTTATTTCTCCAAGATGTTTTCTCTTGGAAGAGTTCCTCTTATTTCACAAGACCATTTGACAAACGCCAAACAGGATGCTGCAAGATGAGCTTACATAGGCCTTTTAGCATTTTGTACAAAATAAGTGAAGGGAGTGTTCATGAATCTTGCAAAATATAGTTTACTGTTACATAAATACAGCAGTGATAATTCCATCCTGCAGAGAAAGTCTCTTCTCCAATTTGTCTAAGAAACAGGAAACATTAATGCAGGATGTGATATAATGCAGAGATGCCTTTGTATAAACTTTGACTTAAACAATTACAGGAAAAGGAGTATGAGAGCAGTTAATGTCATCAAGTTTATCCTATAGTTAAAGGATTGGTTTGGTTGAAGCAAACTTCTGCCATCCACATCCTCCTCCCTCTCCACTCCAAACAGAACCAGACAATGTTAAACTTAAGTCTATAATATTTCATATTGGATATCATAGGCCTGAGTAATACAGCAAAACATTTATTTTTTAATATTATTTTATTGATATTCATCAAGATATAAAATAATTAAGTCCCTACTTCTGTTCAGCTGAAGATTCCCTGGTCGAATGCACAGCATCAAAAGTGAGAGTTAATTGTGTAAGCTGTAGACAGAATATCTATTGAAATTAATAAATTATACAAAAAAAAAAACTAAAAACCTTCAATCCTGTCAGTGTGTAATGTTAAAGTGTGAAAATGTTTACAGCCGTGGAGCCTATATCTTGGACCAGTTACTTCATCCATTCAAATAGTAATGTTAGTTTGTCGCCGGGTTGTTTCTCAGAGAGCCTCACTACTCATTCCTGCGACTGGATCTTATTACTGGTAAAAGTGCTTGCACTCTGCATCTATTATCAGATGGTAATGATTTAGGTTTAACTTACTGTAATTCCTGGTATTTCCCGTCTTTAATGAAACTTATTTTTTGGCTTTGTTAACAATAGACATTACATACAGTATCTGTTTCATGTTTAACATTAGGTTACAGCCTAGCCCCGTTTGAGACTGTCTTGTCAACTCTGTGGCCAAATAGGGCTTTAAGTAGCCAAAGTAACGCCACACCACAAACACTGCCTTCATCCCATACACTGTGTAATTAAAAACGGACATTGTCTCCTTGACTTCACTCATAGGTTTCTGAAGAACTGTTGTGAAGCTCAGTGTAAAGTCCTGACACTGCTGGCTCCTGGCTAATCCAAAAATGGGCAAAGACATGGAGCATGGGTGGAGCCGAGGCGAGCTAAATGAAGCCTGGTTGCGGAACACAGCCACCTGTGACGGCACCCACCTGTCAGCCATGCCCTTAATTATGCATAACTTGAAGCCTTGATAGAATTTAAATTAGTTATAGAAAAATCCCCCCCTCCCAATACAGTTGTTATGAACAGAGAATTTAGCTGTAGAAACCGAAACCGTTTTTTGTACCAGGCTGTTAACGTGTATGTATAACGTGTAAGTTGGGCATTTTAAAATTGGGGCCTTATGGAGATTGATTCACTTTTGTAGCCTGCTTCAAGTGCGCTGTTTGAGGAACTGCAGTTTTTGTTACTTCCATGTTCATCTGCTAGCCTCTGAGGTTGCCGCTTGGTTTATCTACAGTATCCTAACATTTAAGGTTACATTAACGACTGAGGTTTCACATGTAGAAATGTTTCCACAAAGGAATTGCTCATCTCTTGTCCAACTATCCAACTTATGATAACAAAACAATAGCATGATGTGTTTTGTTAAGTCAACCAACCCCCCATGCCTATCTATCTTGGGAAGGCTGTTCAAAAGACAAAAGCCAAATAAACCAGTGTTTTTTTCATTTCATACTGAGTTGGGTAAAGGATTACAATTTGAAACTCAGTGCTTACAGTTACTAACCTCAGTAACACTTAGATATAGCTTTGTTTCTGTGTTGAGATTGCGTTATTAGTACATTGTCAAGCATTCTAATTTATTTATGGTGGATCACAGTTTCTGAAAAGGAAATTTCTCGTCCACCTCCAGCTACCACAGGATACTATCTCAGTGGTGCTCACGCTTTATTTGTAGTAAAGGTCTTCCCCATTACAAACCATGTAATTCAAATGAATCCAAATGCACAAAACCGTGACATTTTAATCTCACTACAGAGAAAGCACAGATATGGAATTACATGACCTTTTGAAAAGCTCAAAGTAAAGAAAAGGACAAACATTACAGACACTTAAACCTGCTGTGTCAATTTAAAAATAATGATTTCTACATGAAATTTCATTTTAACAGTGGCAGACACACCCCAGAGCCTTATATTGCTTTGGTCACTGTGCAGACAACCACTGTGGACTCTAAGGAGCCTGTGAAGGTCAGTGACCAGTGTATAGTAATGAGGGAGAAATGTGTAACCCTGATGTGCAGACAGAGAGGCTGTTCGTCAAAGGGTCAGATAACTGTTGCTGCAGTAATTCACTGATATTGGCTGAGACTGCAGAGTGCAGCGCTTTTCTGTAATTTATCTGCTCAGCAAAACTCACAGGGCAACCATGGAATGTGTAAATAGATGTGACAAAGTGCCATACTTCAATCCACAATCCACAGTATGTATATAGCTCACCCTGCTATTAAAAGAAGAATTGTACGCTGTCTTTTTGAGCTACGTATATGTATAAATTGAAGAGCACTCAGAAGGAATGAAGACTGAGGGAAATAAATGAAAAGGACTTGAGCAGCAGGCTTTTTTGTCTACATTGTAAAGTTGCTTGAAATTGATTGTGCAGTGCTATGTGAAATTATTTCAATATTGTGTTTTCAAATGTGTGCCAGCGAGTGCATACTTAAAAAAATAGCTTGTTTCGATCCATTGTTCCAACAGTGTGTTTTCTATCATTTCAAACCAGTCAGTGGAAGCTAATGAGCTCCAAAGTGGAATAGATAAGAAAATATATAAAAAAATTGGTTGAAAGTCTGTTGTTTGTAGCGTAAAGTCAAACTCATTTGTGCACTTTTATTAATTTCTCCCTTTGTTCTCAGTTGAAAAGTTGTAATGGATATGTTTTCTGTTCTGCACAGTGCACAGTTTGCAGCATGAACGCAAGCTTTTGTGATGTGTACACAAAGATGACAAAATGTGATCCCATCAGAGGCGACGCTTTGTGCACAATTCTGTCTCACGGTAGCTTTTTTCTGCTCTTGCTGTTTGATGGATTGTTTTGTATTTTGTATTGTCCTTTCTCTATAATAAACACAGACAATAATTGGAGCGCCTTGTGGACGGTGAATGATTACTACATTTTAATGTCTCATAAGATTATCCCCCCCCCCCCCCCCCAGACCTCCATTGATCTATTACTAGCAGCCATTGAAGAAACTGCCTCGTCCAAGACCCGCCATGAATCAGGCACAGATAGATTCTGTATGAGCTACAACCACACCAACAACATCAATCAGAGGGGTTGATGGCTTCATTCTGAAGTCACTCAGCGTGTGGTGGCCTGCTTCACACACACACACACAAATTCATCTCATTGAAGCTATCAGAGGCCAACTGTACTGCCAACACAAACAATATGACACCCCCGCACAATTTAACATTAAATTCTGTACACTAGGTAAACACTAAACATCTGAGTCATCAAACCTCTCTCAGTTTGGTTAAGTGATAATGCTAACAGCAGAGTATATATCCCAGTAATTACCCGTGCAATGTTATGTAGCTGGAAAGAGCTTAATATGGTGGGAGATAAGGTCCTTGGAACACAGAGGCACTAATGGGCGACTGCTGTAACATTTTATTAGCTGTACACAATTACAGGTTAGATCGCACCCACAAGTGTCATTACAAATGCCATTTATAAAAGACAAACAAAGGTCTTTTAAATTTGTTGGTTTTGCTTTTCGATGTATCTGTCCAAAGACTGCACTCTTAAATGAAATGGCTTCACAATTCCTTCAGCATGACACCAGTGAGGTTAGTTTTTGTGACGCATATTGTCATCACACATACATGTGGAGGCACCCAGGCCCCAGTTACACCTGGTAAAAATTTTATCTGTATCGGGATACATTAAATACTCCGAAAAAGTTAAACTACAACCTTTCCCACTCTCATTTCCTATTCCCATATTCTTAGAGTTCAAAGATGATTAAAATGTTCACTTTGTGTGGAGTGATTCAAGTGTAATGGTGCTACTATTCAGGAGAGTATTTGTTCTCACGTAACCGATTCATCCTCAACGTCTTGTGTATGACCCTTAAGTCAAACATCCATCAGACGTGGTTGTGAATTGCTCTCATGCAACATACGCACAACATGATAAATCCATTGCAGAAACAGCTGAGCAAGACTTTCCAGTGGCTAGAAATAATATATGCAAAATGAAGACACTGTTTGTTGTCTTATTCAAGGTTTCTGAAATGAAAGGCATTATGCTTCACTAAATGTGAAAAAGCTAAGGCATCAGTTTTGTTACATTTTTAAAACAACTGCCCACTATATTTGGACAAATCTATCCAAATATCCTGGGATGGCGGTGATTCCTATAAAGCTTTACTGGCCAGAGAGAGCCACTCTGATCTGGCAAAGAGTTAAGAGATCCAAACGGGTAAAAAAGAGACACTGAGCAGAGCTGAAGTGGCTGAAAGGATGAGACATCAGAATAAAAGCCTCAGCAGCGGGCAGCTGCAGCAATGAAATGGCCCCGGCTCTGTGAACCTTATTTATTTGCCTGCCTCTGCCTTCCAGCCCCATTATGTTTGGAGTGCTGTACCATTTTATGTTCATTTTGACAAAGAGGAACAAGAAGGGATATGATGATATTGCCATCAGCAGAATGCCAACAAATTTGCATGGGCAAAGAATATCGCTGTGATGATAAACATTATCGTCGAGTACAGAATTCAACCGTTCGCTCTGAAAGTGAATCAGTCCTTCTCTACAGTTCATTTC